ACCTGTAACCCTGGGGCTGACTGCTCTTCTCTCCGGGTTCAAGGCTTTTATCCCCTTTCTCCTGCTCTTCCGGCCTGCTACTCTGGCGTCCCTGCATTGTCTCTCCTCACCTGTAAGCCTGGGGCTCAAGGCTTTTATCCCCTTCCCTGCTCTTCCGGCCTGCTATTAAATTTATGTTTAATCTATACAAATAAATTATTAAATTTATGTTTAATCTATACAATTTCCTTTTTACTTCTTTCTTTCTCCACCCCCGCTTCATCAAGACAGGAAATTAAAGTAAATCTTTAGGTGGCATTGTAGATATCTGTAGGCATCTGTTGTCCACTCAAATTTCCAGGAAGTCATTTGGAAATTATTATTCAATATAGATCCAGATGAGCATGACTCTTCAATCTCAAAACAGAATGGATTCCTGCCACACTATTAACAAGATGTATACTGTTCGTCATGTCTTGAAAGCTAATATTAATATCGGGAGACTTTTAAAACAGCAACAGAAAAAGTATGCAAATCCAATATTGGTTATTTGGATTTTAGTATTTTCTCTCACATTTCTTTCTTTAATCATGGCTGTATGTCTCATTTTCTCTGACACCATGTCTCTAAAGTTATTATTGGTCATCCACCATATATGAAGACTTAATAATCCAAAATATATGATGTGTTACTAGGTAAAAAGATTTTGATTTTTATATTAAAGTGCCTTACCTCACTAGAGGAGCGAGGTTCCATCTTCTGCATTAAGAAAAAAAAAAAAGAAAAAAAAGTTTAATTTTTATGGCTTATTTAAAATGCCAAACGATCTCTTACTTGTTCTCATTCTCTCTCTCTCTCTCTCTCTCTTTCTTTACTGGCAATTTTATGATTCTGTTTTTGCGATTGGTTAGTTGAATTAAGTTATTTTGTAAAATTCTTTTTGTTTTGTATAATATTAAGAAGCAAATCATTCCACACTTCAAAAAATTCTAGTTCTGGATTAAGATTTTTTTTACCTTAGAAATTATTTGGGTGTTTGGTTTTTAAGTATTATCACAGTTTAAAATATAGAGTGATGTATCTATAGATAAGGATCTCTGGTAGCATAGAGCCTAAGGCACTTGACTGTTAACCAGAAGGCTGGCGGTTCAAACCCACCAGCCACTCCTCGGAAGGAAGGTTGGGCAATCCTACTTCCGTACTGATACTGTTTCGGAAACCCAAGGAGGGGTCGCTATGAGTTGGGGCCGACTGGACAGCAAAGAACAACAACAACAACGTATCTATAGATTGGCTACAGAAACTTGCAATGTTTTAACATCATGATGTATTTTATTGCATTTGACTTTGTATTAATTGCTAGAGTAAAAAATATTGGAAAAATTAATGATTCTGTTAAGCAGAGGACAAAATTGAAGATCAATTTTCTTGGTAAGAATAATCATTATACAAACTCTGTTATATTTCCAATAAATTGTGATAAAAATAGTTTTCAGTATTTCTGATCCATCATTTGCTATTGAAGCCTCTGTTTTACAGTTGGATAAATTTGTTATATTTAAAGGGAAGATTAGGCAAGTTACAGAATAGACAGAAGGAAAAAAGGTGTTTAAGACTAGCAAAAAAAAAAAGAAAATCTATGTGTCCCCTGAAGAAGTTGGTTAAATTGCACATATATGTGTTATATGTTTGTATGTATGTATATTTTCAAAGAAATTCACACAACATATCTAGTTCCATTATCATCGGTTTGTAAGATGAATAAACCAAAACCAAACTCATTGCCATTGAGTCGGATCCGACTCATAGCGACCCCTCCTTGGGTTTCTGAGGCCGTATCACTGAGGAAGTAGATTGCTCCATCTTCCTTCCTTGGAGTGGCTGGTGGGTTTGAACCGCCAGCCTTCTGGTTAGCAGTCAAGTGCCTTAGGCACTAAGTTACCAGAGAATATTACTACTGTCTTCTCATGGGAAGAATATGATGCTCAGAGATGTGAACAGATTGTTTTGCATAGGTTAATGCGCACATGAATTGCTAAGTCACCATTCTGCCACACCTCCTTATTACCTGTTTCATCATCAGGGATTATGAACTACTGTAATTAAGAATAGCAAAACTCTGTCATTTGCTTGAGAATTGTTTTGTAGTGGCTTTCCTGTACTTCGGAAGGGATATGCCGTATGAGTGAAAATTGATCCCCAGTAAATTAAACATATGCAGAAGGGAATGTATGCTTATTAACCTATAACTAAGATCTTTCCAACACTATAGCGAGAGTACTTCATGAAAAATGTGTTCTTCTTTATAGCTTGTGTAGGGCAGGGTCTATGTTGTCTTTCATTTTAAGTTTAAATATCCAGGCACTAATTCTATATCCATTGTAACTCACTCCTGCCTACTTCTGTTTCTAGTAAATGTTCACTGTTACTTCAATAAGAATAAATATTCAAAAATGTCTTGTTATACTTACATGCTCTGCAAGAGCAACAGCCAAAAGGCAGGTAAAGATAAAGAACTTCATGTTTATTTAGTCCTGGAAAAAAAAAAATATAAAATCAATAATAAATTTACTTTTCTTAAAATCACTTATTCTCTCATTACTTATATTTCTGTTTGTCCTAGATAAAGGGGGAAGGGAAGTGAAAGCCTTATGAAAGTAGATATATTTTGAGAAGCACAAGAGTATGAATATGACTGTAGGAAAAACTTAACAGGAGAATGTTTATTGCCAGACCAGGACATAATAGGAAGTCTTGTTTTCTGAAATGTAGAAGGTCTAATACCAGGTTCTGAAATATGAAATGTGGAAGGTTCTTTCAGTAAGTTAGTGGGAATATTGGCTTATGTATAAATGATTAATTAATTTATTAATTTACTCACTTATCCAACAAATATTTGTTATCAAGTGCCAGGCACTACTTTAGACATGAAGATAGAGTGACAAAAAAAAAAAAAAAAA